GCACGCGCCGCGACGCCGGGCCAGCGTGCGACCGACGACAGCAACGTCTGAGCGTTCCTGTAGCCGCACGCCCAGCCGCGGTCGGCCGCCGTCGACGCAAAGTGCGCGGCGGTCGCGCAGAGGAGCAGAGCCGGGATGCGCGCGCGCAGTCGCTCGACGAGACCCCGCGTGCAGCATCGCTCGTCCTCGGCGCTAACGAGCGGCGCGGCGATCGTGCTCCCACGGAAGTCTCCCTCGCCGCCGCCGCCGCTGTCATCTACGAGTCTCGCCACCTCCCGGCGGTCGCGCCCTGTCCGCTGGTCGCACGCGGAAGCGACGGCGGACACGCACGCGGTCTTCGAAGCTCCGCTCGCAGCGTCGGCGCCTCCCGTCACGCGAGCAAACCCATGTTTGCGCCGGAGACGAGCAGCGATCGACGTCCGAGAATCCCGGTCATCGCACGACGCTCGAGCGAGCGTGGGGGAGCCACCGTCTGGATCTCTCCCGGCGTCGCGAGGGAAAGCGATCGGCGGCGTCGGCGGTGTGTGCGAATCCTCGCCGGCGTGACGCGTGTGGATGTGGTCCTGGGCCTGCGCCGCGTTCTCGCACTCCAACCCGCAGAACGGGCATACCACCGCCACTGCCACCGCCCGATGACGATCGGCCTCAGCGGCGCCCTCAGTCGCGGACGCCTCGGTGACGCCCTCTCTCGCGGACGTCCCGGCGGCACGCTCTCTCGCCAACGCACTGGCGGCGCCCTCTCTCGCGGCCACTGGCGGCGGGGCAGTGTAGACGCGAGATGTGCCCGGACTCGTCGCGTCCAGGTGTGCTCTATTGACGTGCAGCTGTAGCCGCGTCGGCGACGCGTCGCTCACTCCACAGAGAGGACACCGCAGCGCTGCGTCACCCGCGCTCGAGACGGCGGCGCCCTCTGGGTGGCAGTGGGCGATGTGGAGGCTCAGCTCTTCGAGCGCGACGTCGGCCAGCTCGCAGAACGGGCAGCTGAGGGAGGACTCGATGTGGGCGGCCTGCACGTGCGAGAGCGTGTCCGCTTCGCTCGTGCACTCCTCACCGCACACGTCGCACACGTAGCCCGGGACGTCCGTCGCGCTGCCGCGGGGACCGTCCGTCATACGGGGGACGTTCGTGGCGTGGCTCATCGTGATGCTTTCCGACATTCTGTCTTCAAAACGTAAGATACCTGTGTAAAAAAACAGACGGATTCAATGTTGTCGTGGATTTGTCTGTGCTGCACTAATATTACACGTGTAAAAATTAGACGTACTGAGTCAAGGTGCGAAATTAACGTTGAAATCGTGAGAAACAGTCAAAACAAGGTGAGTACCCTCGGTTAAACGACGTTTTGTCCCGCCTTTCTGACAACAAATGACAGATTTCTTGCTAGAAATTATTAGACAACACCCTCAAGAAGACCTCTGTTAATTTTTAAGAGTGTACACCCACATTCACGAAAGTCATGATATAGGGGTTTAAACGCTACTCTGAGCGCTAGTACTATAGCCTGCGTACAGTTGCCGCAGGTTACGCCTACAGGCCTGCGGCAACTGTACGCGGGTTATAGTACTAGAGCTATCGTCATTTCAGCTTTGCTCCTCTGCAACACACACAACTCACAAGTCCCGCACGCACGCCGCTGCATGTGCACTTACAGTTACACCAAAATCTCTAAAATTCGAGCCCTATAGCTATATTTCTATATTTCTAGCATATTCTTCTAGCTAAAATTATAGCATTTCAACGTCATTTACAGAAAGCTATTATTAACAAGTGCCGCAGAGCCACTGGGCTCATCTGAGGTCTGTTGCTATGGTTATAAACGTAACATTTCAGTC